AAAAAAAAAAAAGAAGTGAGTCATCAGTGCTGCCATTGTCTCAGGCTTCCACACCCCAGGGACTGAATCTGCCCTTCACGTTGGAGTCTCAAGAGTGTCATCAAGTCACATCAAGTCTTAGAATTCTGGGATTTTTTTCCACACCCACGTCTGGTGTCCTAACCGTCTCTCTGCCCTCAGCTTTGCTCTCCCTGTCACCTGACTCCTCTGAAACTTGCACACCACTGTCATAAGAATGCTCCTTAAATGCTGATTATCATGTCACCTACTTTAGGAAAACCTCAGTGCATCCCCAGTGTTTCCAAGATAAATTCAAAATTCTCCAACCTGAAATTAAAGTTCATTGTCCATCTGTTCCCAGAATTCACGTGTGTCCTTGTGTCTTAGTCCCCACCTCTCACACCTGTGTCAGCCCATTACCTGCTCTCTATTCTGCCTACAAGCTTCCTGCTCATGGCGCATGCTCTGTCCCACTCAGTGTCCCCACTTGTCCCGTTTGTTATCCAATCCCACTTTGCCGTAATCCTGGCATTTGTGATGAGATGTTTTCTGATCTCTTGTACTCACATCAATCTTTTCCTTCTGTGAACTACTATATTCCTAGCAAAGTTGAGACTTTATCTGTTGTATAAACCACTCAATTGGTGCTTAATCATGTAAGGCGTGGTACCGGTGGCTGGCTTCCCCAGGGTTAGATTACAGTCCCTTTTGTACCCCTCACAGCCAAGTGCTGGCAAGGCAGGAAGTGCACAGGGGAGTCTGTTGAATGAAATCGTGCGGGGGAGCACATCGAGCGGAAGGGCCAAGTGGGTCGCATGTCTTTAGAGTCCGCTGCTTTTGTTTTAGTTTGGTTGTGAATGATTCTTGGGCCTTTGGTTTGTCATTAAACTCTCTGAGCATCAGCTCCACGTCAGCGAGTTGAGGATGATCATACCAGCCTTGCAGAGGTTACGGGTTATGGTGAACAACAAAGGCGGAACCATACACGGAAGTGCGTTGTGAACTCCTAACGGTGAGTTCTTAGGGTTTCTCTTTGAATTTCAATTATAAAATATTTTTCTTCTTACTTTCAGACTTGCAACCTTATTTCTCGAAAGAGGACCCAACAGGATAGGTGGCATTTACAAAAAGGCTGTTTACAAACACTTCACAGACGAGACCTATTCCACAGAGATCTCCAAACCTTCCTGGCTGGGATTCCTGGGGCCCATCTTGAGGGCTGAAGTGGGCGATGTGATTGTCATTCATTTAAAGAACTTTGCGTCTCGACCTTATTCTTTGCACCCACATGGCGTTTTTTATAACAAAGATTCAGAAGGTAAATATCAATCCTATGCTATTGGGGTCTTCTCTCTGTTTCATAAGTAAGGTTACCTGTCTGTGACCTTAAAGGGACTCTAAGAGCACAGTGGTCACACAGGCCACAGGCTTCCCTCTCCTCTCCCCATCCCATCAATACCCCATCTTCCTTTTCTTCCTTTTTCTTTCCTTTCTTTCCTTCCTCTCTTCCTTCTTACTCTTCTTTATGTTGGCACAGAACTCGGGGTGGGCTCCTTGGCATGTGGTGTACTGCGCCCCAGAAGCACACTAGCTCTCTTGCTTGTCACTCCACCATGTCTGAGCAGCGCGCCTCCCGTCCCCAGCACCCTCGCTGCAGGGAGGGTCATCTCAGCAGGAGCTCATCTCCACCCCAGCCTCAGGCTGCGTCTTTGGTGTTTCCTCTGTGAAGCTGCCCTGTCTTCTTGTGTGTACTTCAGGAGTTTCAATCAAGAAGTTTCTAGATTTCTCCCTAATTAAAAAAAAAGTGTAAGCAACATTCTTCAAGTTTTGAGATAGAAGTATTTCTCTGACATCAGAAGTAATTTTCACACCCTTGGTTGCGTTCTTGCTGGTGACCGGTGGAATGGGTCAAATGGTGCTGTATCTGCCAGACAGCTGCCTCCGAGAGATGCGTCAGGCACAGTGTCATTAAAGCTGATGCAGCCATCTTATCGTCAAGGAGGCGCTTCTGGGCATTACTGAATGTCCCAAGGTGGCCCAACTTGCTTGGGAGCGCCCCAGCCAGGTCTGTGTAAGTAGCCAGAGGAGAGAACTGGGTGATGAACACAAGATGGAGAATACCGCTTGTCCTCGCCCAGTCCTCCAGGTGAAGTGCAACCAAGCTTTAGCAGTTCCTAGGTGTTGAGGATGAGCATAGAAAAAGGAGAAGTTCTGTGAACGTAAGGGATAGTCTGAAGCATTTTCTTAATATAGTTTCATGAAAGTATCATTTATGCTGCACGTAGAAAGTCAAGATGAGGCAAGGTAGCCTCAAGGTGCTTGTCTTTTTAAATACGGAGAAAACAGGAGTGTCTTTAATCTTTAATTTTGTCTCCATCACTCTGTATGTTTCTGGAGAGCAAATTACTTTAATAGAGTGGATGGTGTCCTGAAAAATCACCCAAGTTAGTGATTATAAACTCCACAGATCTTCCCTTAAAAATTGTTGTAAAATATACAAGCGAAATTTTACTATTGTGATGATGTTTCAGAACATCAGGCACAGTATCGTTAATGGTAAGGTGGCTGCATCAGCTTTAATGATACTGTGTCCGATTCAGTGTTGTTACCTATATTCACATTGTTGTACAGCCGTCGCCACTATCCATTTCTGGAACTTTTTTTTCAAATGTCAGATTAATGTGAGGCTACAAATAATTAGGTTGCAATTGTGCTTTAGGTAAGGTCCCTACTGTAGTTGTGTCCTGTACCCAGGAGGTGTGCCATAGACCTTTGCCATTTCTGGAACTTTGTCATCATCTCAAACAGAAACTCTGCATCCTTTGTTTGTTTGTTTGTTTTGTGAGACAGAGTTTCACTTATTAGCCCTGGGTAGAGTGCTGTAAAGTCATAGCTCACAGCAACCTCAAACTCCTTGGGCTTAGACAATTCTCTTGCCTCAGCCTCCCACATAGCTGGGACTACAGGCGCCCACTACAACGCCTGGCTACTTTTTTGTTGCAGTTAGGCTGGAGCTGGGTTTGAACCCATCACCCTCGGTATGTGGGGCTGGCACCCTACTCACTGAGCCACAGGTGCCGCCCAAAACTCTGCATCCTTCAAATAATGCCTTCCCCATCCTCTCTCTCCCTATCCACAGTAACCTTTGTTCAACTTTCTGCCTCTCTGAATTTGCCTCTTTTAGGCATCTATTATGAGTAAGAACGGCACAATGTTTGCCCTTTGTGTCTGGCTTACTGTTTTCCGGGTTCATCATATTGTAGCATGCATCAGAATTTCATTCCTTTCTAAGAGGGACTAATATCGAATCACATGTGTACACCACATGTTTATCCAGGCATCTGTTGGCCATGTTCCTACTTGTTGGCTGTTGTGAATAAAGCTGCTGTGAACATTGGCATATCACAGATCTTCTGGGCATCTGTGAGGCCCAGGAACCTTCACATCAGTAAAATACACATGTGCACAAAATTTTGAACTCAATTTTAAGGGGAGATCAGAGTTCCTGAAACCATTCATAGGTCCCTAAATGAAGAAGACTTTAAATGTTGCTTGTCCAGAAAACCTTCTCCAGGTCCTGTCTGAAGTGGGACTCTCCTATTTCAGGAGTCTGTTGGTTTATCTCATGGCACTTATCAGAACTGGTAGAACAAAAGGGAGCTCTGTGTGTGTGTGTGCGTGTCTGTCTGTCTCTACGTTAGACTATAGGTTTCCCTGGAGAAGAGGCTAACCTAAGTCTTTCTGGGCCTTGCTTCCCAGTGCTGGTCCAGGGTCAGCATGTGGTCACTGCTCTCTAAACACCGTTGAAATTTGATTTCCGATAAAATCAGCCAGGAATTTGATGGAAATTGTTTTGAGTTTACTGTGAGAAAATTGCCATCTGCCTTTTAAAAATGAATTGGCATCTTCACAATATTGAGATTTCCACTCCATGAACCTAGAATCTGATCTTTAATTTCTCTCAGCAATGTTTAAGTTTTTAGTGTACAAGATTTTCATTTCTTCTGTTAAATTTATTTCAAAGTATTTTAATTTTTATGATGATGTGAATGGAATAGTTTTCTTAATTTCGTTTTTGGATTATTTGGTGCTAGTATATATGCAATTGTTTCTTTGTATATTGACGTTATATCCTACAGTCTTTGCTAAACTTGTTTATTAGTAGATGTTTAGAGGATTTCTTGAAATTTTCTACATATAGGCTCATGTCATCGTGAATAGAGTTTTACTTCTTCCTTGCCAGTCTGTATATCTTTGATTATTTTTCTTTTGCCTTATTATACTGGCTTTATCCTTGCAGACAGTATTTAATAATAGTGGTATAGTCAGACATTCTCATCTTCTCAATATTAAGAAGAAAGCATTCAGTCTTCCTTCATTAAGCATGATGTTGGCTGTGAATTTTTCCTAGATATCCTGTATCAGGTTAAGAAAGTTCCTTTTTTTTTTTTTTTTTTCTTTTTTTTATTGAACGGTGAAAGTTCCTTTTTATTCTTAGTTTGTTCAGAATTTTTAACTTAATATGGACTGAATTTTGTTAAGTGCTTCATCTATTAAAAATTGTTATTTGTCTTTAATTAATATATTGTATTGATATATTATTACATTAACTGATTTTTGGATGTTATGCTCAACCTTGCAATTATGGGATAAATCCCATTTAGTCATAGTGTACAGTCCTTTTTATGTGTTACTTGAGGCAATTTTCTAGGATTTGTTATGAATTTCTGTGTCTACATTCATGAGAAATAGTGATCTGTACTTTTCTTGTGAAGTCTTTATCTGACTTTGGTATCAAGGTAATACTTGCTTCGTAGGATAAAGTAGTAAGTATCCTTCCTTCTATTTTCTGAAATACTTCATAAAAAAATTGACCTAATGGCTCAGCGCCCATAGCACAGTTGGTTACAGTGCCAGCCATAAGCGCCGAGGCTGGTAGGTTTGAACCTGGCCCAGGCCAGCTAAACAACAATGACAACTACAACAACAAAAAAATAGCTGGGCGTTGTGGTGGGCACCTGTAGTCCCAGCTACTTGGGAGGCTGAGACAAGAGAATCGCTTAAGCCCAAGAGTTTGAGGTTGCTGTGAGCTGTGATGCTAAGGCACTCTACCTAGGGTGACAGCGAGACTCTGTCTCAAAAAAAAAATTACTTTATTTTTTCTTTTAGTATTTGATAAAACTTAAATATAAAATGATCTGAGCCTGGAATTTTTTTTCTGGAAAGATTTTTAGTTACTAATTCAATTTCCTATTATAGGTCTATTCCAATTTTTATTTCTTCTTAAGTCAGTTTTGGTAATTTGTGTCTTTCTAGAAATTTGTCAGTTTCATGTCAATTGTTTAATTCTCTGGCACAATGTTGTTAATAACATTCCCTTATGAATCCTTTTAATTTCCGTGTGGTCAGTTACAGCCCCTCTTTCATTACTGATTTTGGTAATTTGTGTTCTCTTGCTTTCTTTCCTGGTCAGTCTACATAAAATGTTCTCAATTTGGTTGATTTTTAAAGTACCAACTTTTGGTTTCATCCGTTTTGTATTGCTTTTTCTGCATAGAATGTTTTTATTTTGCCTTTTTTTTTTTTTTTGATTATGATTTTGCTAGATTCAGCCTTCTTGGCTAACATCCCTCCAACAGCACTTCAAGTATGTCATCTAACTGTGTTCTGGTTTCCAGTGTTCAGATGAGAAGTCAGGCATTAATCTGGGTGGTAAATAAGTTTTCTCTTTCTGGTTTCAATATTATCTCTTCTTCCTCTTTCCACAGTTTGACTGTGATATGTTTATTTGGAGATCTCTTTGTATTTATCAATATCTGATTAGGCTTTTTTTGATGTGTAGATGAATGTTTTTTAACAAATTTAGAAAAGTTTGACCAAAAAAAAATTAACTGGTTATGCATGCATCTGTAGTCTCAGCCATGTTTCAGCCAGTGAATGGTGGGTGGTTAGGGAGCACATTCAGAGTTTGGGCTATTTTGGTCGCTTTCCCTTTTACTTTTTCCTGTGCCCCTCTTCTCTCCTTTGTGCAGGCACACAGCCTCAGGGTAAGTCAGGAATATATGAATAACTCGAGTCCTTTCCAATCCCTGCTGCATCTACCTACAGCTTCACCAAGAACATGCTTGCTCCAGCCATCACTGCAACTTCAGGCCAATAGAACCAAACGACTGCTCTTCCCTCCTCTCCTGCCACCCAGATCACCATTTCTATTGTAATATTACAGTATGTAAACAATGCCCATCACTTCAGATCAAGAGAGCCCCCTTCAAGCATGGTAGCAAAATTCCTAGACCTCATTCCTGAACATTTTTGCAAACCATCTCTCCGATCAAGTTGAGCATGGAGAAAAGATGGGATAGGAGCAGCCCTAGGCAAAAGTGTCACAGATTCCCATTCTTCTTGGCTAATGTTAAAGCAGTTTTTGCTGGATGCCTTTATTAAATTTCTAGAGTACTGAAATGGTTTCTTGTTGTGTTTTTAAAATTAATTTTGTTGGCTCAGAGCCTGTGGCTCAAGTGGCTAAGGAGTCAGCCACATACACCTAAGGTGGCGGGTTCGAATCCAGCCCAGGCCCGCCAAAACAACGACGGGTAGCCGGGCATTGTGGTGGGCACCTGTGGTCCCAGCTACTTGGGAGGCTGAGGCAAGAGAATCGCTTGAGCCCAGGAGTTGGAGGTTGCTGTGAGCTGTGATGCCACAGCACTCTACCCAGGGGGATAGCTTTGAGTCTCAAAAAAAAAAAAAAGTTAAAATTAATTTTGTTCAACTTTATAGTTACTTTTGGAGAAGAGGATTTGTTAACCTTGTCTTCCTTTGATCAGTTTTTGTCTTGGCTATAGCTGTAGGCTTAATAATCTTGGAATCTCTGTTCAAATCAATTTAGTGTTTGGTGTGAGCCAGACACATTTCTGGATAATAGGGCTGAAAAGATGAGAAAACATACAGTTTCTGATTCTAAATTGCATATTCAGGGAAAGTGTAGAAAGTGAACTTAGACAAAGTGGGCAGGACTAACATTAATGAACAGCTATTGTGTGCCAGTGTCTGTGCTAGAACTCTTATGCACACTTTTAAATTTAATGATAGAATAAACTAGTGCTTTCTTCATCTACAGGTGATATATGCTCAAGTATTAGGACTAATTTAAAAATAAATTTGTTGTTTCTTAAAATATAATAAATTATAAGGAAGGGGAGAATGACACAGAATCTGATTACCTACACACTATTAAAACTAGTTCAAAATAATAAACTAAGGAAAAAGTAGTATATGAATATACTTAGAAATTCTTAAGAGTACAAAGAGGTATAAAAAGAAAGCAACGGGTCCTTTCACTTGTCTTTCATCCCAAAGGCAATCACCTTAAACAATTTCTTGTAACTTTTTCTCAGAAATCTTTCTGTGCACAGATTAGAATGTATGTGTGAATATATTCTTATTCGTTTATATAAGCGGGTTATGCTATAATGCCTCTGTTTTTCACTTTTTCCTTTGCCTTAGAGATCTTCCTACTAGTAGAACATAGAGAAAGACCTCCTTTTAACAGTTGTGCAGTATTCCATCACAGAACTATATCCGTTCAGTATCATTAATTACGGTAGAACCTCCATACATAGTTGACCACTTCCCTACATCGACCACCTCGTTAATTTGACCTAATGTTCATAGACTGGACATGCACCACATGTATCTATCAGTGCAGTAGGCCCAGTTCCTTGTGTTGACCACCTTTGTATGTTGATCAGTTTGTTACAACCCATTGGGCTGTCAACTTACAGGGGTTCTACTGAATTTACGTTGTTTCCAGTTCATGTAATTTGAAAAACATTTGCCAGTATGTTTCTAGAGTGAATTATGACAAGTGAAATTGCTGGTTATATTCATATACTTTTTTGGATAGGAACTGGCAAGTTTTCTTTTAGAGAAATTGTATATTTTATTCTTCTACTCTGTGTGTTACCAGCCAACTTTTTTCTCCCACAACCCTCCAACCTTCAAAATTCTCAAATCTGATGGGTAAAAAATTGTGTGACTGTTAACGGCCCACACATCCTAAAACATGTATAACCAAATGAATAGTGTGTTATACTGATTAACATTAACATCACTCGAAATCTTTATGAACTCCTTGGGAATGACTCTTAACAAGCTAACTGCATCCAAATCCCTCCTTACTTTATAGTCACACTTCACATTCCACACTTGGAATATCCCAAGTGATATTCCTCGTCTTGAGCGGTGGCACAGAGGATCTGTTTGGGGACTCTAGCTCTGCATTTTAATGATGGTCTTCAACAACTCTCAATAATAATAATGAAAAATAAATGCATTAAGTAATATAAGGATGCTTGTAATATAAGGATCTCTAGAATAATTGCTATTTGTATTAATTTGTATCATATCATATAAAAATGAACACAGAATGAGTGACCTCAATCAAAGCTTCGTGATAAGTTTGCTACTTATCCTCCCTCCCTAACTCCTGACGATAACCCTCTCCATAGATATGTTCAGAAGCTTCCAAGCCAGGCATGTTATTCACAGGGCTTTGGACAAAGGCACTGTAAAGTAATGCCACTATTCATTATTTTGTTCAAGAGGAGTGTGTCCACGTCCTTCACTCTCTCTGTCCCTTACCCTCCAGCCTTTTTTCAACACCAGCTTAGCTCCTCACAGTCCTTCAGGGCACGTCACATCCCACCCCTGGTATGAAGCTTCTGATAATTTGTGATGTACATAGATTCATCTCCTGTCTGTCATCTCCAGATGGTTTTCACACTGTTTTTAGCAGTGGACTTTCCTTAATTGAAAAATCTTGTGCAATCTTAGAAATAGGGAGCAAGAGGCTACTCTATGCACTTGGCCCTGCCCACTCTGTGGTAGGCCCTCCACCTTGCACAGTGCAGCTGTCCTCTGGGGAAGCCCGTATTACTTGACCCAAAATTACATTCAGCACATCAACCTGTTTCATTCTCCAGTCACCCCATGTGTTCATTATACATGTTCTGGTTTGTCCAGTAGAACTGTAAGATCCTTGGAGGCAGGAAGAAGGTCTTATACTTCCTTTCTCTTGTGAGACCTACAGAGGGCAGAATCTGTGATATGCTCCCAAGAAATGTTCATTATTTCTTCTGCTTCTCCTTCCCTCCTTGAGTTGATGTCGAGTGGGATGAACTGAAATCTTCCTGACTGGCATAGTAGGTCCATCAAAAAGAGTCCTTGTTATGCACATTTCTTAAGTTCCTCGTTCTGTATATTGCTTCGTTTAGTCTCATATCTAAGTGGGGTAGACAGCAATTCTAGTTTTATGATAAAAAATAGAGGCATTGAAAATTTAAGTAACTTGCCTCAAATACCACAGCAAAAAATTTTTAATTCAGTTACATTTGATTCTAAAGCTCTAGCCCTCTCCACTATGGCAAGGGATCTCTATTTTAACCATGTCTTATCTTTTCTTGGAAGGAGCCTTATACCCAGATGGAACATCTGGAAGGAATAAAGATGATGACATGGTTCCTCCCGGCAAAAACTACACCTACGTCTGGCCAGTGAAAGAAGAGTACGCACCTGCTGAAGCGGACGCCAACTGCCTGACCTGGGTGTACCACTCGCACATCGATGCCCCCAAGGACATCTGTGCTGGGCTGATCGGTCCCCTGCTGGTGTGCAAGGAAGGTAAGGGCGCCGCCTGCTCCCCGAGAGCCTGTTCCCAGGTAACTGGGGTGTTGTTTCATTCGGGTCTTGTTTTGCCTCCCTCCACACAGATTGTGCCTCTCCTTTAAGGGAAATTCTTCTACCGTGGAAGGTCAATCTGACACCACAGCAGAGGACAATAATTCCAATTCTGTCTAAGAATCATCACAGCATTCTGAAACATATACATATATTTTTAAATAACGGCATTTCATAACACCACACATATGAAAGTGAAAATTTCAGTCAAATTTCCACAGATGACTTTTGCTTCATTATTTCACCCAAGTAATCAGTTTGCTATTTTATTTCCCAGTGATGGATTTATTGTGTCTGTGCTTTGTTGATAAAGTCAACTTCCTTCTGGGATCGATTTCTAAGTCTGCAGTTGTGAAATTTCTATTTTCTGACTTTTCTATTCTACAGTTCCATCATTTCCATGAAAGCTGTTTGCTGCATTTATTTTGTGGGGTATCCTTGTATAGATAGCTCTTCACAAACTTCACACTCACCCGACACTATTGGCAGGAAGCAGAGCTCATGTTGATGTAGTTCTCCATGAACTGCTTTCTGTCCTTTTTTGAATGTTCTCTCTGCTCTGATAGGTGTCCTAAACAGATATTCAGCTACCAGAACTGATGTGGATCGAGAGTTCATTATAATGTTTACTCTTGTGGACGAGAATCAAAGCTGGTACCTTGATGAAAATATCAATCATTTCTGCACTGACCCCAATTCTGTTGACAAAAAAGATGCTGTTTTCCAAAGGAGTAACAAAATGCATGGTCAGTATGAATCTCTCCCATTCTCAGTCACACACCAGTGCCTTTTGCACTACACGGTACTACAAAGGCTGCAAAATGCACAGAAATGCGGAACCTAGCTTGGCAGGATTTATAACTTAATGAAATTGACAGTGATTGGAAAGTGATTTAAGATATGACACGTCGAATTCAAAACAATCTGAGAGGCAAGAAGGCGATAGATACCTGCTAAATTGGATGTGAAATATGGGCAAAGCCGGGTATGGCAGATGGAGGGATCAGTGTTACACGGTAACCAGGAGAGGCTCAGGGCCCAGGTAAGCCCAGGGGATGGGTGGATTTAGACCAACTGGAAGGAGAAAGGAGAAGGAAATTATCATCCTATTAGAGTTCTGTGTTTTGCAACTTCCTTCTTTATCCAGTAACCATTTTCTGAGTGACTGCTAAACATAAAAAGAGCTATGCTCTGCATGGGCCTTAAACACTCACTTGTGATTTCGTCCTCTTTTCTATGCATTCTTTAAATCAACTGACCATGTATTTGTCCAAAAGAGTGAACTTTCCTACTTATCCTGTCAGTGGAGACAGAACACTTAACCCATGCCTGTTTTCCAGCATTTTAGGATGTGAGGATTAAGTGGTCTTTCCACTCTTTTTCTACAGAGTTCTAGAACATAAAGAAAATTGTCAATGTAAACATCCTGTTTCATTCATTGAAAAGTCTCCTCTTGTCTCTTGTCTGTCTCTCAGAATCATCTCAACTGAGGCAGCCTCAGCAGAGTCATAAAAATCATAAGGAAAGGGAAGGAGGTGACTATCATCTGACCTCCCCATTTTACCAATGAAGAAACTCAATGACTTACCTACGGTCAAAGTCATGATTAGTGCCAGACAGAACCTGAGAGAAGTCCCGTAGCAAATAAACATTAATTTGGCTGTGTTCAATTCTAAAGTGCATTCAGGCAGAATTGTCAGTAGATTATTTCCATCATGTTGCAGGCCTTCTCTTTTCTCTCTTGTGATGTTTCAACAGCCTTGTGTATGGTGATGCTTGGAAAACATTTTAGGAAGGAAGGAAGTGAGGAAGAGAAGGAGAGAAGGGAGGGAGGCAAAGAAAACCGCGAAGGACTAAATTCAGGTCATTGTTGTGACCAGTTTTATTCTTGTGCCTTATAAAATGGGAGGAATGATCTCACATATTGTTGAAAACTATTAAATGTAATGATTTAATACTTACTTGCCCACATAATTCCTCTTATTCTAAATTTATTCTATGGAGATGAAAATATCCAACAAAAAGGAATGAATTACATAAACAAATATAGACTGCATTTAAAATAAAAACTAGCCTGTATACAGAGGAGATGTTTGCAAACAATCAGTCTTTCTTCTTTTCTGTATCTGTGTATATATTCTCTTATTACTTTTTAAAAACTTTTGTTAAGATCTTTGTGGATCCCGATTTCGTCATTTAACATGTTAATTACAAGAAACTTTGTTGAGCGTGCTAGCATTTGGCCTGCATTTACTCATATGTCAACAAGGCTTTACTAACTAAATAAAGTTCAACAGACACTTATTAAGTGTCTTTTATATGCCACATAGATGCTAAAGATATGAGGGGTGATTACAGCAGGACCTCCTATGGGAAACTTGTAGTATAGTATGGATATTTGAAGCCATTTGTCAACGGCTTTGCTGACTTTCAGATATATTATTTCTAATGCATCACTCACCTAGCAAAAAAGTACTTCTGACAAAGAAACAAAGGGGGTTAATAAGATAGAATCTGTTCTGTGCGAACCCATGTTTGGACCTTACAATGGCCTCTTTTCCTTGCAGGTGGTCAGGTCAAAATTCTAGAATATTGTCCTGGTAATTGAGTTCATATAAGGAATATATTACTGAAATTTATCTTGCTCATTAATAGAGAATCTTTTGGAAAATCTTTTGGAAACTTGACCTCATCATTGTGTTCACACGGCAATGCTGAGGCTGTCTTCAGCGTGTGCCGATCTTCACTTTTACTGAGTGCTTTTCTCTCGAAAAAGACCAGTGCAAAGCTTTTCATTCCTTTCTGGGACGATTTTTCTTTAAAGGTCCAGGTTTCTCTGCATGAAAACATTATAGGCAATGGTCTGCACTGCTTTTGCAGTCTTACAAAAGTACACCATTACCCACGTGTCTGGTCCTGCTCGCCTCCGCAGGGCAGTCTCTCCCACCGCTGTGTTTCTGTTTCCAGCCCTCAATGGATACCTCTTTGGAAACTTCCCTGAGCCCGATATGTGTGTTGGAGAATCTGTGTCCTGGCACCTTTTTGGAATGGGGAACGAGATAGACATCCACTCCATCTATTTTTATGGTAACACCTTCATCAGCAGGGGGCATCGGACTGATGTTGTCAACCTGTTCCCTGCCACCTTCCTCACAGTAGAAATGGAAGTCAAGAATCCCGGGAAGTGGATGATAACCTGCCAAGTGAGCGACCACCTACAAGGTAAGATGAGCAAAGACCAGAGTGGAGATGCGGAGAACTGTACAATTGGGCCACATGGTACAGGTGCTTATCCAGTGCCTGCTGTCGGGTGGATTCTTATATGTATTGTACTTAATAAAATAACAAATATACGGGAAAATCCAGCGTTCACTTGCTCACATGAACAAGGGGGGAGCGATTAAAAAATGATGAAAATATTGTGAAATCTAATACAACTAGGAATTAGACACAGTGAGACATTTTAAAATTGAATTTCACTGGAGGGGAGATAAATACCGTTTAGGGGCTTCCTGAACCCTTCCTCCTCTTAACATGAGCCCAGAAATATGAGTAGGAAATAAACAGAGGGAGAAAGAAAGGCTTTCCAGGTAGAGAAAGCAACATAAACTGGGAAAAACACGTGTTCTCTTTGAGCAACTGAAAATACAACAGTGAATATTCAGCATTGGAAAGGGCTTTCTAGACAATACCGACCAATCCCCATCCAATTCTTTGAATTTCCTTTTGAACTTCTCTTGTGAGTAATTGTAACAGCTCAGCTCTTCTCTGGATTGCTCTATTGGAATATTTTTCCTTATACTGAGTCAAAATCCATTGGCCTATTGCTTTCTTCATGACCTAGGACAGGTGCATGATGAACATTTGTTGGCTTAAATGCTTGTTGAATGATTTGGTTCTGGTTCCTTAGGACCCCACAGAATATGTCCTTTCTTAGATAGACCATAATGTTGGGAGCAGTGATGAGACTAGGTGATTGTGATCCTTAGATCTTAGGCACACTCATGACATCATCAGTACAGTGATTTAAGAAGGTAAATATGACACATGCATGCAGAAAGGATTCCCTGGGGGAAATTCTGGCCCCCTGAATCCTAGTTAAGAAGCAATGGCAACATTAGAGTTAGGATATCTAAACTGTCTGACCTAAGATGGTGAAAACAAGAAGAAAGAAAGAAAATGTGACAATGGCATAGACACAGAGGAAAGAATGTCTGATTAAATATGGATACTGACTAGCTACACGCTGTCACTAACAGGAACACAGATGCAACTCTTCAGAGCTTCTTTGATGACACATTCTAGTTCCCATCCATCTTAAGCAGCTGATCTTAACATTCATAAGCTGGATTATCCCAATTAAATCCAACTCAAGAGTCGACTAGTTAAACATGTACTAGATACTCTTCTGGGAAGGCAAAGATAAATAAGATGGTCTCATAAATACAGGAAGAAACTGTACACTTAAAATTGAAACATTGTGCTCTCACCTATGGGGCACAATGTAAGGGCATATGGCATAGCTCCTGGGTGAAGGGCACAACTACAAGAAGGACCTTACCCACCAAACACAATCATTGTAACCTAATTGTTTGTATCCTCATATTAATCTGAAATAAAAATAACTAAAATCAAGACAGTAGCTGCCCCCTGAGACTGGCAAGACTGCAGTTGGGGACCAGCCCCAAACTATTCTGTGAGTTCTCGCCCAGAGACTGGCAGAGATGAGAGGATGAGGGAAAAGGAAAAGTCAAGATATAAGGAGAAAGTTTTTTTTTTTAAGAGCTAGGATGATGACTCACCACCTTCAGTGTGAGGACCAGTGGCAGCCCCTTGCTCCAGGCTAGCTCCATTTTTCTTGGAGACAACAGATATGGGACCTGAGCTTCTGTAGCCAGTCAGCCAGCCTGTGCCTCCTTAGAGGAGAATTCAAGCCATTCTCATTTATTGAAAGAATTGGTAGGTATGCTGAAGTTTTAGTCATCTTTTTTTCCCAGAGGTCCAGAGCTTATTTTTACCCCTTTCACCATGATGGAAGCTAGGCTCTGTTCCTCACTTTCTGGGTGTGTTTACTTGGTGGTGGACCATCATGCAGAATGGGTCTGAGCATTTCCCGTAGAGCTGGTCTAGTTATGGCAAATCTGACGTTCATTATGGATCCGAGTATTTCCTATATAGCTGCACTAGATATGGCAAATTTCCTCAGCATTTGGATATCAGTAAAATATTTGATTTCTCTATCACAAATGAAACTCAGTTTAGCAGAATATAGGATCCTGGACTGCAAATTGTTTTGTTTAAGAAGGTTAAAGGCCAATCCCCATCCTCCTTTGGCTTGAAAAGTTTCAGCTGAAAGATCTGCAATTATCCTAATATTTTTCCCTTTTGTAGGTAAGACTTTCCTTACGCCTGGCTGCTTGCAGGATTTTCTCCTTCACATTAACTTTGGCATCTCCTAGACATACTTTACAATGTGTCCAAGAGATGTTTTGTTTGGATTGAGTTATGCTGGGGTTCTGAGACTATCCACTATCTGAATTTCTGTGTCTCTCGCAATGGTGGGAAATTCTCCACCATAATCTCTTGGAGTAGAGCATCAGTGCCTTTAGGACCATCCTCTTCTACTTCAGGAATCCCTGTAATTCAAATGTTTGATCTTTTGGAGTGATCCCGTAACTCTCCCATGGAACATTCTGCTTTTATTCTCTTTTTTTCTGTCTCTTTGAATGATTGGGATAGTTCAAAAGTCTTATCTTCAATCCCTGAAATTCTTCTCTATGTTCCGCTCTATTACTGAGGATTGAAGATCCTCGAATGCCTTTTCCAATTCCTTAAGCTCTGCTGTACATTTCCTCATTATGTCCATATCCTTGGTGACTTTGTCTTTGAATTCATTAATTTCTTGAGACAACTTTTGGACTATGTTTTGGATTTCTATTTCCATCTTCTCCTCAGTTCCAGTCATTTTATTTGCCATCCATATTCTGAATTCTATTTCTGACATTTCAGCAATTTCTCTATGGATGATATTTTCTGCTGTATTTCCCATGTAACCTCTTGATGGAGTTGATTTGCTCTGATTTTTCATGTTGCCAGAGTTCTTTTGCTGGCTCCTCTGCATGAGTATTTTCAGCTTTTTAAAAAATATCTGTTAATTATACTTTTTTAGTTGTAATAAAGGATGTCTTTGAGAAGTTTCTGAGAGATAATCTAATTGGGGACACTTAGGAAACACTATATTGACCTATTTGGCAATTAAAACTGGCAGAGTGAGACTGGATCAGGAGGACTCAGGAACTGGAGCTAACCACCCCTTCTCTAATCAGCTGGAACTTGTGACTGTGGCCTTTCCCTGAGCCTCGCAAAGGTCTCTATCAGAATCTCTGAGGGCTGGCTTGGTGAGGTAGCACAACCTTGCTCTGTCTTGGCATCAGCCTTCCCTCTACCCAATCCTAAGGAGTTTCAGTATTTTACTAGAGTCTCTGCTGAACAAAGATACACACACCTGGGGCTCCAGTCCCTGCTGGTGATAGCTGGAGGAGGGAATCCATGGACAGAAGACCCACGGAATCTGCCCCTCACTGCTGCAACCACCCCAAACAGCTGCTCAAACAAAGTGAAATAAGTGGTGAACCTGCAGCCCCAGACAGCAGCAGCTGGAGCACAAGAATCCACAGATGCCTCTGGCTGAGAGTTCTAGTAAAACTCACTCAGGCAATGTGAGCAACACTCACACAAATGAGTTCAGATGGTCACCAGGTGGCCAGAGAACAAGAATCCACAGGCAGATCTCAATGAGAGTTCCTAGGGGGCGGGAAAGGGAGTCAGGAAAAGTCACCCCTCTCCCCTCCAGACTCAGAACTGCAGTGCCACTTTTTCTGTGCGGCAGCTCAGCAGCCCCACAATGCCCCAGACTCTTAGTGAACTTGCCATACACTCCAACCTATGCAGGGGACAGTCCGTCAGCCAACCAAGATAGGGGGCAGGATGAACTGTGGGCTCAGGATCGCAGAGAGAGAATATTTGTTCACTTTTGTTCCTGGTAGGATGGGGCCTGGGCTCAGAAGTGGAACCTCCTAGGTGTAGGAGGACTGGCACTTTGTGAGTGTCTCCTGTGGGGAGAGGTGAGCAGTCCTTTGTTCTCTGCTCATGGGCAGAAACCCCACTGAGGTCCTCTGGTTGGGAGAGAGATCTCCTGTCCCCTTGGCAACTGGCACTTTCCAACCAGTTGCTCTGTACCTGATTTTGTTATCTTTCTTGGCCTCACAGCTTGTCTCGGTGGGAATGATGTGACCTTGCTTTCTTCTCCCTGTGTTCAGCTCCCCATCTCCAGCTTCTCCAAGTCCACTTCAGTCCAGCTTCTCTCCCTCTGGACAGGAACCTCTGCTGAAAGCTGCTTCTAGTCAGCCGTCTTGAATCCTCCCCTGCCATTGCTTAACACTTATATCTTCCTCCATGATTGTTTCCTGTTCGGAGGAGTACTGATGATCAATTTACAGATAATAGCTGTACTTTTGTGTGAACATTTCCTTGGGAAGACCCCTAGATTTGGAATTCCTGGGTCAAAGAGTTTGATTTTTTAAAATCTATGGACATATATTGCAAATTATCTTTTAGAAAATGTTCCTCCTCCTGCATTGTGCAGGCATGCCCCTTCCCCATTCCCCCCACCAACATCAAGAATTATTGGTCTTTCCTATCTTTACCAATCCTATCAATGAACAACAGTGCCGTTTGAATACTATTAAAGTTGAACTTTGTTTTTCATTCGTTCATTGGCCAATATTATTTCTTTTATTAATAAACCTGTTTCTGTCCTTTGCCCATTTTCCATGTGAGATTTGACTTTGCCTTCCTAATTTGTAAAAGTGATTCACATATGTCATATTGGCTACAAATGTTCCTCACCGCCCATTATTTTTTGTTTTAAACTTTGTTTATAGTCTAATTTTCTGTACAAAAGTTTTAAATATTCATGAAGTCAAAAATCTATCAGTCCTTTTCTCTATGATTTATTTTGTGAGCATTTATAATGCTGACTGTGGTTTTCTTCTGTTCTGCAGCTGGTATGCTGGGCCAATACAATGTCAATAACTGCAAAAGTGATATTTTTAATCCTAAAATGAAGGGTCAACTAAGGCGCTACTTTATAGCAGCTGAAAAAGTTCTTTGGGATTATGGTCCTCAAGGCTATGACAAGTTCAGCGGTCATCCCCTAAATGCCTCTGGCAGGTAAGCACTCTTTGCTGGTGTTTCTAAGCGTCTCTTTTGAGAGGCAGTGTCAGGCTTTTCCTATGATTGCATTTGTGGTCCAGGCTCTGCTCTGATGAGCACATACTCATAGATGTCATAATGTCACTGCTTAAAGAGTTCTTAATATTGTGTAGTATTGCTGAGAACTTGGAGGGTACTTATTGTTTTGTGACTTGCTGGCTAAATCAAACCACTAGATCCATGCACTCATTCATCAAACATTTCCCAAGGACCTACTATTTGCAAACTATAATGCTAAATGTCATGGGAAATACTGGGCTAACAGAGAATAGAAAAGAGCCTTTGCATATTTGGAGCAGACAGTCTTGAAGAGGGGAAAAAATAAGAGTCTCTTTAAATAGAGATGAGCTTTGCAATTAGGGAAGAAAAGGCAATCAAGGGTATCCATATAGGGTCAGAAGAGATCAAAATTTCACTCTTCACAGATGATATGATTGTATATCTGGAAAACACCAGGGATTTTCTACTACAAAACTCTTAGAAGTGATCAAGGAATACAGCAGCATCTCAGGCTACAAAATCAACACTCATAAATCGGTAGCCTCCATATATACCAACAATAGTCAAGCTGAAAAAACAGTCAAGGACTCTATTCCATTCACAATAGTGCCAAAGAAGAGGAAATATTTGGGAATTTACCTAACAAAGGATGTGAAAGATCTCTATAATGAGAACTATGAAATTCTAAGAAAAGAAATGGCTGAAAATGTTAACAAATGGAAAAACATACCATGCTCATGGCTGGGATGAACCAACATTGTTAAAATGTCCATACTACCCAAAGCAATGTATAATTTTAATGCAATCCCCATTAAAGCCCCACTGTCATACTTTAAAGATCT